TGGGGCCTTTATTGCGATTTTTTTTATGTGCTATTGTTGAAACTTCATATTGCATTTATTACCATCAAAAATTCTCCAAACTTATGAACCAACCCTATGTGCAACAACGCCGATAAATCCCGATGAAATTTTTTGGACGCGATTCCGAATAATAATGAAAATAAATCCGTTCCTCCTCTATTACTGTATTTAAAAAATAAAAAACGAATGTTTCGCCCTCTGGATAAAATTTTCACGACTTCAGAAAGCAGTTGGGGGTTCGAGGGGGGTCGCAAGAGAATAAGGAATGTGTTCCGCAAAGACGGTGGGTGAAGACTGGCACGAGGCTGGAGAAATCTCTGGAAAGCCGTTCATCCGACGCCGCTGCTTTTGCACCCATTTCTTTCCAGCCCCGACTGCATTTATACGTATACATATACCCCCGGTAGACCCACTATACACGTTCGTCTGCAAATACGTGTAGCCCAAGGGCATGCATGCAAATAGTGTGAAAAGAAAACACATCGCTTCTTCAATCTGCGCATCTCAGAATAAGGACTTCTTATTGTGACTTGCTCAAAGCATGTGTCACTCTCGAAGTCTGGAATCAAGGGATGAAGGTGACAGCAGGTTTTCCTGCATGGTGGTGATACCTGGATATTGAATTTTCTCTTAGACGTTTCAGAACTTGTAAATGAAGTAAAAAAAAAGCTGAAAATAAAAAAACTTGAAATCGTTGTGCTCGAAAACTTCCTCACTACTTATCGTTTTTATTGCCAATTGTCGCACACTGCGAATATATGCCAGAAGTAAAAACGAACAAAGCACTGAGTAAATATGAAAATCCAATAAACCTAGAAAAAACATGAACCAGCAAACCAACTGACCATGAGAACAAGTTCAACTGCGTGAAACACAAAACAGAAATCCAAGAAACTCCTCAACCACCGAAACGAAAATTAAACGTTATTCTTGTCAGGAGATCTTCAGATCAGCTTCAAAATTTCTCAGGAAAATTATTCGTGGAAAAACATTTCCAATTACTGTACATTAAAACAAATACAATGTATAATTTTGGGACCTTAGTCTTGGCTGCAACCCAGCCTGTATAATCGTGTCGAGAATTATTTCTCCATTTCTTTGACTATTTTTATTCAAATCCCTTAAAATAGTGACATTCTTGGACGACTTCAACCATATAATCGGCTCAGCAAACAAAATTCTTCATGAGTCTCACTGAAATCCAAATTAGCGAAGCTCACAAAGTTATCATGACTCCCATCAATTTTCTGCAATTGCTCATCAATCCGTGTACCAGTCAGGTTAAAATTGCCTGATTTCTTCCAGACCCACAGAAATATTATAAGTTTGTAAAAAACGTTGATTCTTCTTCGTAAGTAAAAGTTTTCCAGTGTTCAAGCGTGAACATATCCAGTTCTAAATTAACTGAGCTCAAGTTTCCTTGAGCTCAGCTAACAAACCAACTGCTGGAAGACAATGTGCGTAAAACTGCTGGCCAGTAATTATCAACCGAAGAACAAAAGGTTAGCAACAATATTGAGGAGGAACTGCAGTACCAGCAAATTCTCTGGAGTACCATATTATGTGCCCTTGAGTAAAAGACTAGATTATCTATAACCTGGACTAGACTATAGACTAGACTAGACTAGACTATCAATAACCTTGGATTTTTAGCTGGAATTTTGGGGGAAATCTTAACCACGCATAAGTTGCTGCGCACCTTATATAGTTTTCAGTTACCAAAACTCCTATTTGAGAAATGGTGCGGGGTAGAAATCTAAATTGAAGCCCACTTAAAATCAAATTACATGGGTATTGTTTTTTCATACAAATAATGTAATCCTTTAAATAGAGAACTTCAAAAAATGTAATGGTAAGGAGAAAAGGTTCAGATATCTAAAATGTCCCTTTTTCAAACTGAACACCCAATTAACTATGACGTGCATCTACAGTCACCCCTGTCTGATGGACTTAATTTGTGCAATGGACAAGTCTGTTAGGCAAGAATAAGTCCTTTAAACAAATTCAATTTCATTGAGATTTCAAGATTTGGACATAATTGGTGCATCAAGAGTGTCCCTAAGTCAAATTGTCCCCATAAGTTGAGTCTTGTTTTCCCATAGACTTATGTTACATAATTTTTAATTGGTGTTTTATGGGAGAAATATTCTTCAGAATTCTGTGAAAAAATTATTTGCCGATTGAAATTGAATTAATGAATACATTTTCAACTCAAAAAGAACATTTGGAGCATTGAATAGTGTATCTCTGTACTGATGTACATTGAAATGTTGGTATCCAAAAAAATAACATTATTGAAGTGAAAAGAATTTAGAAGTTCTTCAATGCTTGAGGTAATTTTTTAAAATAAGCTAAATGGATGGAAAATTGGTGAGAGAAATGCCCAAGAACTTTTCTTACATCAATTTTAGGGTTGAAAATATTGGTTTCTTGTAATTTGGCCTGAAATGTCTTTGCAATTTTATCACAAAATGTCCCTAAGCTGAGTCAGTTTCCTCATGTCAGGCCTTTTTTATTAATTTTTCTGGGAATATAAGTGTCCCTATGTCAAATTGTCTGCAGGTTGGGGTGTCTGCATGTGGGGGTCTCACTGTATATAAAAAATTGAAACTTTTAACTGTCAGCACTAATTTCAAGCCAACAGAAGTCTATTTGTTGGATTTTGTCTATTGGGCAGGAGGAAAACTGCCTGCAGAGCTGGTCTGTTAGGCAAAAATCCCTTGCGCGGGAGGTATGTTAGGTGGGGGCCACTGGACTTTTGTATACATCAAATTGATTAAAAAATGGCACATGCGGTACATAAGTAAATACGGAAACTCTTCTGAATCCTTTAATTGGCATGATTAAATTTTGATGGCAGAACAATCACATCATCATCATCCCTTTATTGGAAGTGAACGTGACACATATTGGTCAGACAAACCTCATAAAATGAACATAAATCTGGCACTCTCTTGAATAATAAAAGAAGCGCTTGAATAGTTCTGACTGAAATTGAAAAGTCTATATGCAATCATTTAAAAATTATATTGTTGGTAATATGGATAATTTGTCAATTACTGTGTATAAGTTCTGATAATTACTGCGTTTAGTGTTTTCAACTACCTGTATATAGCCAGGTTAGAGTTCAAACTATTTTGTCATTCGGCCTTTTGAAAAAAGTACATATTAATCATCAGGTAATTTGCTCATGAATGCTCAGATGAACTTGAAAATGGACAATTGACTCAGAGAAAAAAGGAAGCTTTCTATAATTTCGTACCTCGATAATAAGTGAGATGCTGGACCTTTAAGCTATTAGATATACATCATATACTACATTTGTGTTTCCTCATATATGTAGAAACATTTCTTGGATGCCTTTCAAGAAATGTTTGATGCATAAAATAATTTTAAAATGCTCAGTCATACGTATGCATGGAGACTAGCACTTTTCAGTAATGTACCCGGTGTCCATAAATTTCGGTCGAATTTCCATGACGTCCTGAGTGTATTACTTCTAAAATTTCAATTGAATTTTCGCAAAAATCAAAGTTTATCTGTCGTTGCGTTATACTCACGTAGGTGATTTGTTCAATAATCATCATCAGAACGTATATATGCAGCTCCAATTTTTGTTTTGTGCCGCCAATGTCGAGTATATATAAAATACCTAGTGAGCTATAAAGTATGCTCAAAAGTTCAGCATGCAAATGTATATACTGTATGCAAGGAGTTGTGGCGAAGACATTTTGACATATTATCAATTCTGGAACCTCGAAAATTCCTTCTTCTATACCTTTTTGATGTTCAAATTTTTCAAGCAGCACACGCCAGCTATATGGGTTGAGGTAGTGCAGATTGACTTCTGAAAAACGAATAACCTACCTATTGCTGATGGCGTATATATATAACATGACAATTCGTCGATCATCAACGTGTTCAGATCCCTTTTATGATGTGATATTGCATTTTATTTCCTCGGGAATCGCATTCGCCGCCAAAATTAAGGCGGTATATACATATGTACAGCACCTTCTTCCGTATTTCCGTGCCTTAAATGCGCGTAAATATATACAAATGGTATTTAAAAGCTCATTCTCGTCATACGTATTTCTATATAAATGCAAAATATAAAAGATGCAGCCCATTTTCAAATTAAATTCTTTCACTGTGCTTGCAGATGCATTAGCCGACAGTAATACGTCACAATAATTTTGAACGATTTGTCTCAAAAATTTTCAGTACAGTACATCTGAAATGCAGTAACTATAGCGGAATCGTACCTCGTCATGCTGGAACTCATCTTCCGCACTGAATTTGAGAATTCGGGGCGCCCGCCTTTTTATGAAAAATCCCTGTATTATTCTTGTATCGTCTGTATTTGCATGTTGGAAAACTTCTGCTGGCGAACTTTGAAATAAGAGCGTGACGAAATTGAAATACAGTATACAGTACTGTACATAGATACAGTACTCGTATAGTGCGAGAAGTCCACACCCGGGATTATCTTACCTGGATTACGGAAGTAAACTGCACCTCTGCGTAGTTCAGTAGACCCTCCCGAAAGAAGGACGGTGCCAGAATATTGCTTGTTTCGGTCGTAATGGCGCTGCCTCCCACGATGGCGTTCCCCATTTGGGTGTAGTAGAAGAGCCGTTGGAATTCGGAATCATGATTCAGAAGAATTGTCAGTGTTATTTCTTGGAATCCGCCACCAGCTTGTACAGAACGTCAGTACCATGAGTGGCTGTCGATGACATGACGAAGTGGTTGTCGGTTTCCGAAAAGGTCTCGAAGTGTAGCATCAAGTCGTCTTTAATTTGCTCGTGAATTGAGTTAATCGTTTCGTGGTTCCTCAATGATTGCATTTTTCGCGTTCAACGCGTGTTTGCCTCGCGAACTGGTTTAGTTGAATGTGGTGTTACATGCGGAGATAACGTTTCTTTCTTCCAGATGTTCGGTGCACCCATGATGACGTGACGAAGCACATTAACATCATGACATTGTTGAGGAATCCGTTTTTCTTTTCGTATCTAGTCGCTTTCAACCTTCTAAGTGAGTACGAAAGCCACATCATCAAATCCTCTCGAAATTGACGATGAGAATATATTTTCAGACTCATTGTTGCTCCACTGCTTCGAAATCCGGACCTATGACTCGACCCGTTCAAGCTCTTTTGATAGATGGACGCAAGAGTCTCAGTCACTGACTACGAGATCTCAGACGGTAATCGATTGCGCTATCCATGCTTTAACTTCACGATGTAATCAAGGTTTGTTCCCCAGGAATACCGACTGGGACCGAGATTCGCAAGTGACGTGGTTGACTTGCAAATTTGGGAACAGGTGCAAAAGGGGACGTCGATTGGAGAAGTTACGGTTTCAAATCCCAATTCGGAGAAGATCGAGTATACACTGCTCGCGAATGGAACGGATTTTGTTCGTAAAGCTCAGTTCTTCATATGTTGCAGTTAGGTTTCATGCACTCTCGTTTACTCTAGCTTTCGGTGGACCGAGACAGCGGGAAATTGGTGCTCAGAGATGATCCGAAGAATGTCAAGGAAGGATCATACGAATTCCGCGTGTTGGCTTCGTCGAGAAGCGGTAATGCGTCTACTCGAGTCAAAGTTCGGGTTTCTTACTCGAACAGTCACAGACCCTTGATAACCAACTGTAACAATACTGCCCGCGTCCGTGAGGAAGACACTAGTCGACCGTTCGTTTTTCAAGTAAGGTTTTGTGAAAACAGCCGTTTCTTGTTCCATTCATAAACGTTTTAAAATCCGCAAATTGATTATGTCCATGAATTTGTATCGTATGGTTTCGATTGTCTATAGGTGCTAGCGACCGACGAGGATTTGGGCGTGAACGGGCAAGAAGGATTGGAATTCAGTATCGTTCAAGTTCCCGGCACTGTGACCCCTAGTTTCACGATTGAAAAAGAAACCGGAAAAATCTTCGCGAACCGAGTACGTTCAAAATTTATTGTTCTTGGCTTTGTAACTTGTAAGCATCAGTCAGTTTTTTGAATTCCAGCCGTTCGATCGAGATGAGCCTGAAAACGAACGTAAGCTGACCGTGCCAATCAAGGTTGTAGATGGTGGGAAACCACCGCTGAACGATGTTTGTGTGTTGCACATCGAAGTTACGGATGTGAATGACAACAAGCCGTTGTTTGATCGCGTCGTACGTATATACGCTACAGTATTTCTAAGAAGCGTTGAATGATGCTATTAAAAGATTTATTCGTATATTCAGGAATACGAAGCAAGTTTACCGAAGGACACACAGGTAGGAGCAGAGGTTTTGGGTATTTCTGCCGCGGATATCGACGATGGCGAAAATGCCGTTATAAACTTTTCGCTCGAGCCGGATGAAGGAGATCCCGACGATGTTACTTATTTTAGAATTGAAAGCGGACAAATACTACTCAAGAAGTCACTAATTTCGGTGAGTGGTAGTCGATGAACAATGTGTTTCAATCTTTCAATTGTTGCACGTGTCCTACCCTTGTGCCCAGTGCCCGCTGATGTCTCCTGCTTAGATTTTTATTGAAGTGAAGTGGAGAAAATATTTTAATTTTAATATTGGAGGTGTGTTTAAACATTCCTTTGGAATTTTTTCCTGGAATAATTCTTCGAAACGTGAGGTGATCTCGGGTATACTTTTTTGCGGTGTAGAGGAACTCATGTCGTTGAGACGACGAAAAGTTCATTACTCTCGGCGGAGAGATCTTTTGTAATATCACGTGATAATGGACATCGGCGATATTGATCTTTTTTTCTCGAAAATTATTGTCTCATGTTTAGCTGGATGTCCAAACGAAATTGCGGTTCAGAGCAAAGGCTGAAAACCCCGGAATTCCGAAAAAGTCGGAAACTGTGAAAGTGACAGTGATCGTGGTAGAGCCTGCTTTGCAGCCACCAACCATCGATGGTCCTGACAGCATCAATTTAGCGGAAACTTACGAGCAAACCTCAGTGCCCATCGCAAATTTTTCTGTCGCTGCGTGAGTATTTTTAAAACAATAATATGGATTCTAGAGAATTTTGCTGCGGCGTGTATTGTTGAAGCGTTGTTCGTTATCTTGTTGCTTTATTCTAAAAGTAATGTATTGCGTAATCATTTATTTTCTTCTCGACTTGTACTGTAGTATCGTTCCATTATTGCATCTAAATGAAATAGATTGAGTTTTGCACAGTGTGAAAATTTTGAAGCAGTTACTGGTATTGTGAACTCGAGGTACCGCTTGAAATGCTCTCTGTACCTACAGATAATTTTTAATCTGGTGAGTTTCGGGAATTTCTCCGAATTAAAGGTTAAATTGGAGAGGTCTGATGTTTTTTCGTAAGGCTATTTTGAGATGGTTCCTTTTCAATACTTTTCTGAATAATTCGTCTGTATCCGAAGCCATTGGATCATCTGCAAAGATGTGTAATTTTACACAGAGGAAAATTGAATCATTTGTTTTTATTCGTGTTCGCCGCCTGAACGCATTCGCAAGTTTTCCTTCTGCTGACTCTAGGTTAAGCACACTCGAGCTTATCGTGAGAGTAGATGGGGACGGAGTTTTAATGCTGTATTTTTTTTCTTCCCTTCCTTCCTCATACATTTCGGATAGGCATTCCGACCCGCCCGGTCAGCTTTTTCAAGAACTTCTGAGGGGACAGTCTGAAAGCACCAACAGCAAACCTACGTTCTCTGCCACAATGCAGAATAACGTCGTTCAGCTTTACGTTTTGAGAGGAATGCTGGACTATGAGAGGATCACCAGCTACAATTTGACTATATCTGTTCTTGTGAGTACTGAGAGTCCTTTGTTTTCTGAAAATTCAAAAGGTTCGAATGGAATTGAAACAATTCCATTGAAACTGTTATCATCGATAAAAGTATTTCATTGAATTTTGATTGCGCCGGGAAGCTGTAAATTCAATTTGAGGGTAAATGTGGAAATTCCGTCAAAGTTTAACACAATTGCTGTAGATTTAGATTCCTTTATATGACGTTCAATATGTGTTCTCTATCTTGGAAATTGGTTTCTTGATTCCTGATGATTTTCGGTCGCTTTCATTCCTGAGCGCTTAGTTCTCTTACGGAAAATATTCAACCTTTTTGAGATAATTTTCGGTTTCTCCGTTGTTATGGTACAATTCCCACTGCGCAGGAATTTAAGGTGATACGTTTGTTTTAGCTGCTTTCATTTCGCGGGAGTCGTCAATATTGTGATGGTGGCAGAGGGTAAGCTATGCATGGGTTGAAAAGCATGATCGAACTGTTCATTCAAATCCCTGTAAAGTCCCGTTTGCATTTATTTCTTGGCATGTTTTGAGGATTTCCGTTGTTGCGTTTGAAGGTCTTCTTACCATTTAATATTTTAATGTATGCATGTATGCTGTTCCGAATATCTCTGCTGATCGTTGGTTCTGTCATGTCGTAGGACACTTCCAACAATTTGAGAGCCGAGAAAGCCATTCACGTCATGGTTGTGCCGATGAATGATGAGCCGCCAATTTTTGGCGATATTTCGGAACTAGTCGTGTTGGAAAATCAGCCGCCTGGGACTCTGGTCGGAACCGTGGTCGCAACCGACCGTGATGCCTATGACGCACATAACAGGGTGTGTAAGATAGTCTTTCTTTTCAGTAGTTTTTCGATGGAAGTTATACCTTACGAAAAATGTTGGTCTTTCCAGGTTTACTATTCTTTGAAAGACACCGCTTCGACAGCAGCTACATTATTCTCGGTGAATCCTACGACTGGCGATGTGAAGACAAGGGTCCAGTTGGACAGGGAAGTAGGAGCTACCTATGTGTTCGATATTATGGCCTCTGATAACTATCCATCAGCGATCAAACCTGATGGAACGCCGAACAACAGTAAGTTCATTATGCATCTAACATTCGTTATGACGAATAACAAATATAAGCATAATACAGTATGTTGGATTCCTTCGGTTCGGAAAAGGTTCTCTTCATCCGAATATTCATCTCATTGAATCACTGAATTTCTTCTAACCGCGTGGAAGTTCACAGCACCATATTAAAAAAAACTTCACAATGTAACGAGTAACTTAATTTCACGCAACTTTTCATTTGTACTTTGACTTACGTTTGGTCTACCGAATCTGGCCCGGGCATTGAGCTTCTGCCATCTTTGAATGCAAATTTCAGTGTCCCAAATGTCCTAGCAATATTAATTTTTTCTTCTTCATGAATGTATGTATTCCGAACGTCGTGAAATATTATGTGGAGGTTCGTCTTCTCACGTCCGAAACTCTGTTGAACGTTGAATTTCCCCAGCTCCATGAGACGAATTTTTCTACTTTTTCCGATGTACTGTAGACTCATGGCTGTGATTACCCAAGTCTTCAAGAGGCCTTAAACTCAATGTTTTGAATCTTTCATCATTTCTCAAGGTACGATTCAGCTTCTTGTTCGCGTGAAGGATGTGAATGACAACAGGCCAAAGTTTGAAAAAGATTATTATGAAGCTGAGGTCCTGGAAACTTTGAATGTGAAGGCTGTTGTGGCTAAAGTGAAGGCGAACGATCCCGACGAGAGTGAGTTTTTTCTCTTCATCCTCAAATTTTCTGCTCCCGCAGAATTCATCTTTCTCTCTTCGATCACTTTAGGTTCGGAACTAATTTATTCCATCACTGGAGGAAACGAAGAAGGGAAATTTACGATCAATGAACGTAACGGGGAAATCCGGATAGCAAATGATTTGGATTACGAGAAAACGACTTCCGTGAGTCAATCCGTTTTTTTTTTTTTTTTATCTTCTCTTACGGAGCGATTTTTCATATTTCTGATTTTTTCTTCGCAGTACGATTTGACCGTGACTGTGTCGGATCTTCAGTACTCAGCTGAAACTGAAGTCCGTGTATATGTCAAAAACGTGGCGGATGAACCGCCCAAGTTCACATTGAGCGAGCACCGCACGACGATTGCTGAGAACTCCACTGATTTGCCATTCAGAATCTTGCACGTGAGTGATCCTGTTTCATCAGAAGTTCTTAATGACGGATTTCATGGTTGTGACTCATTTCGTCATGAGTCTCATGACACAGCGGTGTATACATGAGATGAGATCGTGAAATTAGGTTTATTTTTTCAAGGATATTTGTTAACCCCATTAATTCCGGGACGATGATTCCTTCTCATTTGAAGCGGGATTTTTGAATGGGCTTTCCAACTGCAGTCATACTCATGGCACTAGCAAAAAATTTAATTTAGGAAAGTTTTGATTTAAGGAAGCAACCGATTTTTTTTAGGGAAAGAAAGAATTATGACGTACCGGTGTGTTGACGATTTATCGTGGAAAGAAATTGATGAAGCGGTGCATGTTGTCATTTGGACTGAACAAATGGGGAAAAGAAATTCTTTTACACGAATTTTTTTAAATTTATTATTTGGGCTCTCTTTCTACTGAAGGTTCAAGCTGTTGACCCGGAAAATGTTGCTTCAGTCGGTTATTTTTTGCAACCGGAAGACGAAGACACCTTCAAAGTGGAATCCGATGGGTCGCTATGGTTATTGAAGGTCAGTACTCAGTACTGTACAATTTTTACTCATCTTCATTCAATGAATGGAATTCTATGAACATAAACTTATCTTGAAGTAAACCCGTTTTTTTCGAACATTTTTCCACGATTTGTGACCGCGTTGAGTCATGTTTTTTCGCAGGCTTTGGATCGTGATGCGCCTTACGGAAAAGAGACGTGGGAAGTGCGAGTTTGGGCGCACACGGGAGATCGGAAAGATGAACTGGTGTCGTTCACCACTGTGTCAATAACCTTGACTGATATCAACGACAACGCTCCCTATCTGGTTCAGGTGAATCGACGAACGAATTCTCTTTTTTTTCTGGAAAACGTGTTTGTTCCAATTTATGACATCCGCAAGTATGGGAAGATACGATAATCTTTTTTTCAATGTTATCGTTATCCTTGAATGCAAACAGGTTTCTCGAAGTCATATTCCGCAGAAACCTGGCTCTTTTTTGGCTTTGATCTTTGTTGGGAAATACTTGACATTGTTACCTCATGAATTCCGGTATATCTGAAGTTTTTAGTGCACCTGCATTTTTTAACATGACAAAAAAAACTGTTCGAAATGCCGTGATTTTCGAATATTGAAGAACTCTTCGTTTTTGCATACACAGTATTCATGTTGAAACTTGGACTGGAATTTCCCATTTACAGTACTTGGTTACGATGCCGGAGTAATTGAACTATAAAATTCTTTTTTAAATTGTGACTATAGTAAAGCTAGAGGTCGTTCCTTGGGGATTAGATTGCAGTACTGTCGCATTTTGATATCGGCAACTCCAAACACCGGTGTTGCTTTCGGGAACTTCAAGCCGGTGCCTCTACATCTCCAAAGTTAACAGTTCATAATCAAGGTAGCATGACCAACATGACATCAAGTGTACCGAAACTGGATGAAATTCTCTCGAACTTCGATATAAATTCAGCTGCGGAATATGATTTTGGTTCGATTGTGGTCGAATTTTACATCGTGCTCTCGGGTCACGCTCGGACAGCGTGATTCTTTATTTCGCATTTTTACCGTGCTTTGTTCATTTTTTCATGTCTCGTGCTTATAATTGCTTTCATCTTATGCGATAGATTGACCCTCCGCCTTTGGTGTGGGAAGACTCTTGTGATGCATGCCCGGTTCGCAATGGTTGTCAGTACGTGGCCGTCTTGGAAGCACGCGACAATGACGGGCCAGAAAATGGAGGCCCATTCTTGTTCGGCTTGGACTCGAGTCTCGATCCTGATGTGGAACGACTCTTCCGAATCGAACAGCAAGGTTCCCAATGGGTCCTCTACAACCAGACAACTTTTGATCGAGAAAAGCAAAAGGAATACCGTGTACCCATCTGGGTCAGCGACTCGCCAAAGACCGACTCCCCACTGAAAGCCACCTCTTTTCTGAGAGTTGTGATCGGTGACTGCAATGACAACGAAATGTTCGACGGTTACTCAGAAATCGTCGTCATGAATTACAAGGTAAATTAATTTTTGCTACAATGCTATTTTATTTTCAAACCGCGAGCGACGGGTTAATGGAAAGTTGGCGGGTGTAGTCTCCGTCTCAATTTCATCTTGGCGTGATTAAATTTGGGTAAATGGGATGAAAATTTACATAAGACGCATTCAATGAAATCGAAATCGGAAAGGGATAGAATTTGAAGTGAGGAGAGGCAAGTCTTGGAAAGTGTTCAAGTCGATAGCTTATGTACACGGCTTCAAGTGCAATTCAAATTTAATTTTTTTTCAGGGTGAACTGCCGGCCACGAAGATAGGGCGAGTATTCGTCGAAGATCTGGATGACTGGGATTTGGCTGACAAAGAGTTTCATTGGGAAAGTGTTCAGAATCCTAATTTTATTCTCGACCAGGACACGGGAGACATTATAATGAATCCTGGATATGGATCTGCGTTGCATCATACCCTCGATTTCTCTGTGAGATCCTTGGATTTTGTCCTTTTTTGCACAATTTTTTAAAACTGGCGATGCTTCCCAGGTAACTGATCACAAATGGGCTTCTACCGTGAGAGCACGAGTGAATGTAACGGTACAAATTATTCCGGAAGAGGCCGCTACGGATGTGAAGTCAGCGTCGATAAGGCTCACGAATATTGATCAAGGAACATTCGTTGACACCAAGAAGAACGTAAGTTCCGTTTTCTGCATCGTTTCCATGTAAAAGTTTCATCATCCAAAACGACTTTGACTTGGTCTTTTTCTGTTCGAGGACACTCGTTCCGGGGGGTTATAATGTACCGAACTGTAGCGAGGCTTGAAATAGTCTACCGTAAGACGATGAAGTTAACGAAAAGGGAAGTTCCAGCATGAAGTAGATAAGCTCTCTTAACGTGAAGTTTTGAAAATACTCTCGTGTGCACTTGCTTTTCTGAATTTCTTCATTTCAGTTGCACTTACCTTTTCGATCCGGTTGAGTTCCCATCTTTGACATTTTTACAGGGTTGGTCGAGAGTCACTGCGCTCAAGGAGTTCGTTGGAGGCCTGACAAATCATGCCCCTGGAAACGTCGACGTTTTGAGCGTTCGAACCGTGTCGAACAAAGTTTTCGAGCACAAGACCGACGTCAGATTCGCCGTTCACGGTTCTCCGTACTTGCAGGCGTCGCATTTGAATTGGCTCCTCACTAGTCATCCTGATGAGGTCAGATTTTTTTCCCCATATCTTGTTCGCTTCGCTGAATCATAAAATATTGAGTCAGACAATCTCCGTAAATGTATTGTATATCTGATTTGATAGCTTTCATTCATTTTTAATGTTCGTATGCATAATCGAAGGAGTTGGTGAACGCTTCTAATTTTTGTGAGCGCCGAAAATTGAATTTATCACCTACAGTATGCATTTTCTCCAAGTCTTCGAATACATTGAATGCGGATTGGCTTGTTTTTTCTTGGATTTGAGATGTTTCAAACTTTGAATATCTGCTCTGTCGATGCATAGTAAACCTTATCCTTTAACAGTATACCTTGCATCTTTTCTCGTCTGAAGAAAATTACCGTGTGTACGCGAATATAAGCGTTTCTTTTTTAATTTTAGAAGCTCAGAAACTATGGGTGTGCTTATGTTCTCTTATTCATGCCCTTGACGGAAATGTGAGTCTATATCAGGAAATCGTTCTGCTCGCGGCCCACGAAACGATTGAAAACTTCTTTTCTTCGGTTCTTTGGTACTATAAATTTAAAATGGTCAAGAAATACTGTACCGTAGTCAACTTTTGGCACTTCGAGGTGCATGAAGCATTGGCTGATGTCCCGATGGGTTCCGTGGCCCGAATTGCGAACTGATGGAATTGTCTTTCACGTCGGGCAGTGGTTATGCGCTCATGAACTCTCTTCCTGCGTGCAATGATACTGAGATTGTAGTGGACGTTCTAACAGATTCAATGGATGCTGTCTTGCTCTACAACGGGCCGGTGACTGGAAATCCGAGGCAATCGAAAGGTTCGTAATGTAGTAACCTTTTGTCACATTTCTGGAAATTAAAACATGCTCTGGAGAAATACTGATGTGTGTATTCCTTCTACCTGTCCAAAATTAAAACGTCCAGTCAAAACTATGAAGTCTTGTTACAATTTTAATTTATTTTCCGGTGAGCTAACGATATTTCAATGTTGGTGCGTCTCCGGTGATCATTGTTGAATGAGATTTGCGCTTAATTCTTTTCGATTTGGTGTGATTTCGATAAAAATCATATCTACTGCACTTTTGATCTTCTTAATTGTTGATGAAGTGACACTGCATTTTCCAGTTTTCCCTTCCCACTGTCGACAGCCGAAGTGTTGGATGGGGCATGGAATAGTCGAGGGGCCCCAGAAAATTCAATTTATGGAGCTTTTAGCGGGAAAGCCTTTGAGATGGGAAGGTTTTTAATGCATTGTTTCTGAGGAAATTCGGTCAGGGACTTGAAAAAATTCAAAACAGGGGGATTTCGACTTACGGAGGTTCGAGTTATCGAGGTTCAACTGTGTAACGACATCGTGACTATTGAGGAGGGATTATAGTAACATTTTGGCCATTGAGGCGGGACAAAGAACACATTCGTTCTGAGCCATTATTCGATTTAACGAGATCATACTGTAATGTATGATCTGAAAATCACGAAACTGAGTCCAGATTTTGCTCAGTTTCGTGTGGCCCAGGTTTACCTTTTCAAGTTTATTTAAACTTTCGTGAAAAGTTTTCCGGGAGGTTGATAACTCAGGCGACATATTTATTCCATTCTGGAGAGCAAGTTCGTGCGTTAAGAGTGAGAGGAAAAAATTGAACAAAGGAACAAAATGTTTGTATTTGCAGATTTTTTCTCTCTGGAATTGAGAGATGGCCAACCGGTGCTATTGGTGAACTATGGAGATCGGACAGAATACCTGGAACCCCGTGATGTCCGCGGGAAAATCAATGACGGTCACTGGCACAACATCACTGTCCGATGGAGTCCCCGTAGAGCGAGCATTGCCGTTGATGGCCGCGTGCTCATGCAGGACCTCAGTGAATCCCGCGGACAATACACGCTCGTGAACTCAAACGGGCCACTGCAACTCGGCGGGTTTGTCCACGATATGCGAGCCATGGAGGGTTTCTACGGTTGGACGGGCTCGGGTCGAAGCCCGCTACTCAAGTCAGCCTTCAGGGGTTGTCTCGGCAATCTCGTCATCAATGGGGAACTGGTTGACTTTGCTCAGGCTTTCATCAAGGAGCCAGATGTGGCTCACGGTTGTCGAGCGGGGCCCAAAGCCGGACAGTTGGCGAGCCTGAGTGCCAAACCTGAATTCCTCGCCATTGTCATCGGATCTGCAGTTCTGCTGATTCGTAAGTTCTTGCTTAATTTTTATTTTTTTTGAGGATGCCCCTACCCGGAAAGATCCTGGCAACGAAAAAATGTAAAAGCGGGCTATTGCTACTGTAGGCATCGAAGTTCATCTTCGAGTTTGATTGAGGAACGTCCATATTGGTGCGTTTTTCTTCTGAGAAATGCGTTCAAGTTTTTGCCTGCTGATGCGATCATTTGATTTTCCTGTTGTCTGGAAGAAATTGTGCAACCGCTTCCTCCACAGGGGGCTGCAAAAACGCGAATAGCTCACCGTACAATTTGTTCGTTTCTGATGTAATTGACTACAGTCGAACTGAAAGGGACCAGGAAAAAAATTCAAGCTGGGAAACGAACATTTTTGTTTGAAGAAAGGGAGAAGAATTACCGGGAAACGGTTATATGCTGGGATCTCAATATTTTCATAAATGAGTTGACAGGATGCCGAACTTCGCAAGAATTCATTTGTTACATTTATACTGTATTGATTATCTCTTTCCTGTGAATAAAATGATGGCCGAAAGGCCTCCGGAGAATTCTAATTACGGATGTTTGAGGGGGAAAGCCTTCAAGTTAGGGAGGTTTTTAATGGAATGCCTTCAGAGAAATTCAGACAGGAACTTGAAAAAGAAGAATTTGATGTGGGAAGGTATTTTAATTCGGAGGTTTGATGTATCGAGGTTTAACTGTATACTGTATATTTTTTATTTTAATCGTCTTCATAATTTTCCGATCGTCATGTTCGAACGTCACGAACAGGGTAGGAATCCGAGAGAACCCTAAAATGAGGGTTCTACGTTGGGAGAAAATCGTGACCATTTTGACGAAGTTTCTCGAAACTTTCGAATTTGTCGACCGGATCAGGGGAAGCAAAAAAAAAACAAAAAACATCGTAAAAGCTTACTGAAACAAGTGTGAACATGTATGCTGCATGATATTTTCATGTTTACATTGCCATCCAATAGGTAATTCGTGTTTACTTCAAGTTACTATTTGTTCGTTACGCTAAAAACGGAGATCAGAAACATTTACGTCTTCGTGTGAGATCATTTCGGTTTAGTCTCCCCGTGATGATCAGTTTTTCTTTCGCCTGAAGATCTTCACGTCGAAAGATCTAAATGTATGCTTTATTCTACAGTGTTATTGGTGTTGATGGTGTTCGTTCGTCGACGGCATTACGCTGCTGCGTGGGAAGATGGAGCCGAAGACCATAGCAGAGATACACTGGGCACCTATGCCGAAGAAGGTGGCGGTGAAGGAGACACGAGGACTTATGATCCGTCGTTGTTGAAGAAAGCTCTATTGGAGGATGAGAAGTTGACGCGACGCCAAGCGCCGACGGGCGATGTTGGTTAGTTTTTTTTTTTTTTTTATTGGGCCTTCCTTCAAAAGGGCAACAGAACTACGGAAGGACGACAGGTTTCTACGCCGACTTGAGGGGAAATTTCCTACGTATTTATGAGTAAACTTTTCTCATGAAATACGTGGGAAATTACCTTTTCATGATACTGATTTTTTCCAGTGTACCGGACATTTACAGCAAGTAGAAATTTTTTTCTCTTCAGGTTATTTCAATTTTTGTGTTCGTGAACACAGTGACATGAACTCAGCATTCTGAAGTCACTTTTAGATCGAGCATTGAACGACTCTCTCGGCGTAGGCTTTCATGTATTCCTCATTTGGAGGAAGCGATGAAGGGCTCTATACAGTATGCTTGATCAGCTTGTAACTCCGAAGTTCCCGGTGAAAAATTCACTCACGCGCAGAAAAATAGACGACGCACGGGAACTGTGGCAAATGAATTTTTCATGAGTTCGTACGAGCACAGGCGTTGAAACGCGTTGAAAATATTCATCGCTGTTTGATGGTGTGATCGTGATCTTAACTTTTCGTACTGTAATATGAGAGCAAAGTTGAACCCATTAATCTATTCAGGAGTACTCCACTCACCTGTGTGAAGCTTCTCGAATTTCACTCCGTATTCGGTATTTCAGCTCAGTTGTGCTAAGGATTGCGTGAACGACAGTATAATCAGCTCAATTCCACTGCAGTTCAACAAATAGCGTTTCTTGGTTTAAGTTAATTTTAAAACATGACTCTAATTGATGACCACTTTGGGCCAACAGATCGAGTATGTCAGTTCCATGATGAATTACCTCATCTAGAAACGTGGTTGCTTTGGAAACTTTCGTTTTCAAGTTGTTTGTATGAGATTATCTTGGTAATCACGAAAATGGTATTGTGTCTTTGGTTGGTTATCGAAACTGATGACATCAGCGGGTCAGTGAATGTAGCTGGACTCTGTCTCTATAACGAAGTTCAAGGGGCATTATAAAATTCGTTGTAGAGAGCCCTATATCACGGGCAAAGAACCCTTTGGTACCGAAAAATATTCGTTCTACAGAGAAAATCGCAGACAAATCATGGTACTGAATAAGGAGACTCCGCCTGGAGCTATTGTTGTGTCCTTGGAAAATATCTGCAGAATTCCCAGTTCGGTCAAAGTTTTTGAAAGAATCTTGTACGTCGATCTTATTTTACTCCAGTCAATTCGGTACATTTTTAGTGCGTCGGTTTTGGAAGCTTACGCTGATTTTTACGTTCTTCTGAAGGTTTAGAGACCTTAACATCTGAGTTGATCATGTTACGATTGTTTTCAGTAGATCCTGCCGAAATTGCATCATTCCTGGATTTGAACAAACGGATAGCGGATAACGGAGACGACAAAGAGGATCTTGATGACATGCGGAACTATGCATATGAAGGACAAGACAGTAGTGTTGGGTACGTTCGTTGAAATTCTCAGCTGTTTTTTGTCCAATATTTTTCTCGAAGTTTGTTATCGATTCCTCTTGAGATACCTCGCTAACGGTGTAGACTGTAGAGTATTGTGCCTCGAAGGCACTTTTTTTTTTTTTTTTAGCAGAAGCTGGCTATGGTTACACAACTTTTAAAAGGCACGTCAAGCTTAGTGATCCCGAGAAAGGAAGTCAGCGAATCAGCCTATGTTTATCTTCGTCGCGAAAATTATTAAGAGGAAGAGAAGTATAACGTTTAGCGAATCGGCGCATTTTTTTCGCGAAGTTATCCAGCTTCTATGAGTTGATGCGTCGAAATGTTCAAGATTTAAGAGTAATTTTCTAACACTGCTATTCATTGTGAGCAACATTCTTGAGGTTACCTGAATGATACACTTAATGTTTCTGATGCCTGAAATAGTGCAGTTATGGCAAAATTTATGATCACTGGGTTTCTAGGGAAAGAGCGAATTATCCCAATTACCGTAATAACTCGAGTACCGCCCTTCGTTTTTCCAAAAAAAATGGGCAAAAAATCAGGTTCGCGTCACAGTCGGGTACAAAATTTCAAGTGACGCATTTAAAAATTCGAAACTTTTCTCCCCAATTTCAAATTTGTTCGGAGTTCTCTATTTTAATGCTATCATTACAGTATATTTATGAAACAAAACAAAATAGCCATTGAATTCGACAAGTGGGCTTCAAGTTACATGTTTACCCAACGCACTTCTTCATGCATGAATTCAGGTTGATGAAAACGAAGATGCTCGATGACGCGTGGTACTCAAGTAAATACGGTATTTGAATTTCTAGGAATTTTATCGGGTTTGGACAAGAAATAATTTATATATATTTATGTATGACAGCCCCGCACTATAACCTATAACCTTAATCTTCATTGTTTAACAAACGAGTGTGTCTTTTGCGAAATAGCGATAGATTCTGATGTTTCTTGCTTTTATTCATATTAAATTTATAGGGGTTAAAAATATGTTGTGTAGTCTGTGGAAGAGCGAGGAATCTTATTGATTTCCAGTCTAGACTGTGTTAACCTCTTTAGGAGAAGCCGTTTTGCAGGAAAGAATAGGAGTGATCAGTGGCAAACGATTGCCTAGTAGCACTGGTTTGTTGATCCTGATCTGACCCAAACAAGCTTGTATAACAGTTTTCTTATTACTTCTTTCTGCAGCTCGTTGAGCAGCTTGAGCTCTTGCGGCGGCGAAGAGCCAGTGGACGAGATGTTCTTCTCCCGTCTTCATCCACATTTCCAAAAGTTGGCGGAAATGTATCGAGGGTCAGAATCGGACTCCGAAGACGATTACGCCGCTTCCGCGTTTGATGACGCTCTGCGCAGAAGACGACCCCACGGCGACTCGGTCCCTCCTGAGTCGTGGTGTTGACCATCACCTACTTGATCAACGACCATCCGCTCCTTTTTTTTTTTTTTCAATATGACCACTTGAACTGGTGAAGGAAAGGAAACATTTCTCGGCCTCGAGAGATAAGTTTTTTTTTTTTCGATACACAGCGCTTGTCCACGAGGAATTTCTTACGAGGATTTTTCTAACTGTAGATCAAGTAATGAATCGCTAGGAGGCTGGTGAATTTTCAAAGATATGTCGAAAACAGATTCCAGTTGAAATCTTCGTGCTTTTCCCCCCGAGAATAAGTTTATTGTCGACGTTGAATACTCGAGCTTTGATGAAAAAGGTTCTCTCTGTTGAAGTTGCCCTGGAAAATAATTGTATTTTCTTGTGCCATTTCTGATTTGTTGCGAAAAAGAAACTATTTAAAGCTGCCGACTGGGTTTTGCCTGCATGGGTAGGATAAAGCTCTCTGCTGCCTTACAGCATCGCCCGTCCGGCGTGTGTCCAGTATGCCATGAGTAAAGTGAGACGAGGAGGAATTCAACGTATTATTATTGGCTGCCATTTACGAGGAACTTCGCAGCATAGTTTATTCCATGTTTCCTTTCATTTTTGTGGAATGTTGATGATACGGGGAATGTCATGGTGCTGTTCTAGTTCGTGACCGACCTGACTCTACAGCATTTGTGCTATAGTGAGACTTGATGAAATGAATTTAAAAGTTAACTGGATGTTGACGTGGTATAGCTGCATATTTGCCATACCACGTAAACATTTATTTAGTAATCAGCATTGTTCACGTTTCCGTATATTTGGAGTAAAATTTCTTGATCTTGATCTATTCATCAGTACAATATCTTCGCATGCGTTTCTTGTGGGAATTTTTGTGCACAATCCATCAAATTGCTGATGGACTCACGTAACTTCGCCATTTTACCACGAAGTTTTATCGATCACAGTCCTCTGATCCCTTGCTTACGAGAACGTATTACATTTCAAGGTCGGTAACGTCATTCAATCACGTGGTAGAACAGCACCAGCAATTTTTAAAGCACATTTGGTAGCGCAATTTCGAGAATTGATGTGGTGATTCAAATAGTCTATTTCCTCTGTCGGTTAAGGCAAGACATCACCTTTTGGAAAGATGGAAAATGAGGATTACTGAGTTTGGTCCGAATGTATTAAGAAGTTCCTAGGTTTTCTTCGTCCGCTATCGGAAAAAAAAAATTCTGCCGATTTCTATCACATATCATGGGGTTCCTCGACTTCGGATACCGAAGTCGTGTTCGTGAGGCGAATGAAGGAACGGTATCTCGACAAGAAAAGATTTTTGTTCGTTTTTTCCCCTCTGAAAAGGTTGCTTTTTGACAGTGAATGTTTCATAGCTTTAACTTGTTTGAGAGCAACGGAGTTGGCGTCTTCGTTCGGTTTGTGTGTACGTGAGTGTCTGAGGATAAATTCGTTCTCCCACCGGCGTCTTATCACCTTTTTTTTTTTACAAAATAATTTTTCGCTTTTATGAGTTCCCATGAATGAGTTGCCGATTTCAGGTTGATCTATGCATTCAATGGGGTTATTTTCAGTCGAGGCTTTAATGTCAGGTTGCGAAGTGTTGATTTAATTTTATCTGCGCGTTAATTTCTGTTAAATATGGGCAGGAGCTTTAAGCAGTATTAACTAAACATTGGCAAGATTTTGGAACCAGAAGTCGCTTTTGGGGAAATGAAACTGTTGCGTCCATTAACACATGACAACTGACATTCCGCGTGGAGGAATTTTTTTTTACCAACCGGTGTTGTGGTTTGGATTCATGGACAGGAAACTGAGGAGAAACGAAAAATGAAGAGCTTATTTGTAAAGTAAACATCTCTCTCTGTCTCTCTTTGTAGGAACCGAATTATCGGTGGCATTTTTTTTAGAATTTCTTTCATGTGGTAGAGGAAAAAAGTCGCTTCAGCTTTCGGTGTTTCGATCCTGATGTGATTGTCTCTTTTTTTTACCCTGGAAGATGTGGGGGATTTTTGTTTCATTGTGTTTATATTTTGCATCAACATGATATGTCCTATTTTTCTTGGGAATGTTTTTTTAAGAGTTCAAGAAAATCTGATGCTCTTTTTATATCAAGGCAAAAAAAAATGCGGAGAGCATTTCATCGAGCTTCTTGTTGAGTTTTTTCGCTGCTGTTTGCTGTGGAGTTCATATGGATGGGAGTAACAACGAATATTCGCGTTTGCCAATGTTTTCCGCCTTTTCGAATATTTATTGAAAAATGTATTTTATCTAGTGAAAGAATTTTCCGACTATGGTACCAATTTTTTCACTGGTTGAACAAAAAGACTACCAAGACCGACGATGAAAGATTCGCTGGACGAACAAGACCTTTTTTTTTTTCAAACCTGTAAATGAGCGATTTTTTTTTTTTGTGATGGACATACGAGGAAACGTTTCATCGAAGTGGCCTTCCGAGTTTTTAGCAATTGTACCAAGAAGAGAAGGTAGGAGGTTTTTCTTGTTAATAACGGTATTTCCTGAGGTTTTATCCGAGCTGCCTTATTACGCGACGCGTTCGCTGATCTTTGTACGTCGGGTTTTCGTCGCGAACTATTTTGCTTGCGGGAGAATCGAGAAAATATAAAGATCATTTTTCCACTTGAGAATTTTCAAGTGTTCCGTTGTTTCCAAGTTTTCAAGGTGCTTTTTTCATTAGTTTTATGCAGTGGGATTATTCGGCGAATGTTTCCCTTGTGTTTTTTCAGGGCTAATCGATTTTCTGCGCTTTATGGTGAACTTGTTGTTCAGAGTAAAACCCAAGCTTAGATTAGCCGTCAGTGTTGTGCGAAGTTTTTCGAAAATGTCGGGCGACCTTGGAAAATTGGAGAACCGAGAGGAGGCATTGGCGCCTTTGTTCGAGTCCGGTTGGAGACTGGTTGATGACAGAGATGCCATTAAAAAGACGCTCACTTTCAAGAACTTTAACCAAGCATTTGGGTGAGTTCGCGATCTTTTTCTTCGCTCGAAGTTTTGAATGTCTTTCGGAAAAGCTTCCCTGGACATGCTGGGCTTATCTGAGAGTCCGTATTCAGAAACCTTTTCCAGTTGAACGGACTTGTGGAGGATGTCACGCAATTGTCCAATCGCGGCAGTTTGAAACGTAGGACATAACTGGAGTAAAGTGAGCCCCGCATAGCGAAAAGACACGCTCAAAGAAAAATTTGCATCACAAAATACCTTGGGCAAGAAATAGGAATAACCGGAAAAAGCGTTTGCCGAAGAATGCTTGCATTTTATCAAATTCTACTCAAAACTCCGCAATGCAGGGGATTCTTGAAAATTTTGAGAAATGAAAAATGGTTTGCCTTACCGTATTCTTTTCCTTATAATTCGGGAATTCAGAAAGTTGAGAGCAAGAAGATTACGTCAATTTCATACTTGCCCATTTCAGATTCATTATCATTTTTTAATTCACAATTGTATGCTTCAAAATGCGCAAATTTCGATGCTTATTATGGTCTTTTGGGGAGTGTCTGGAACGAATTAAAAATTCATGGGAAACTTGTTTCGCATCTCGTTAATTCCGTGAAACAAAACTCGTTCAGGAACAGATTGGTTTCGTTATGCGGGGACCTAGTCTACAGGTTCGTTTCACTTGACCGCAAGGTGTCCCCAACTCTAATTTTCTAGCGATTTCATAGATGACTCCTGTAACATGCCAGGTTTCATCAGGTCTATCCATCCTTCCATATTAGGTTCTTAAGGATTGTTGTTTGTTGAAGTTCATCAGTGTTAATTTCACTTCTGCGAAAATTTTCATGTTCGTTCGATTCAACTTCAGGGTTGACTCGGTGTTGATTTCTGACTTATAATATTTATAATGTAATCCAGTATTATTTGATTACAGGAGAGCCTTCCATCTTTGATTGTAAGCAGTCTATTCGTATTTTTGTTTCAATTCAATTGAATTTCGATTTTCGAAGGAGTTTCCGTTGATGAGGCCATGAAGAAAAGCGATCAAGCATCCAGCAGATTATAATCAAATGCCTTCTGGTGGGCTCTAATTTGTTCCAATCGTGAGGCGACACCGCTTTGTCATTTGACGAAGTAAAACCGGGAATTCGAGAGACGAGAAAAAATACTGGATTGCGACGGGAATTTTCTAGCGACTCGGTAGTTGGATATTGAAGTTTGCGTATTGTTTAAATCTGTGCAGATTCATGACACATGTGGCGATGCTGGCGGAGAAAATGGATCATCATCCGGAGTGGTTCAATGTTTACAACCGAGTAGAAATTACGTTGTCTTCCCACGATGTCAATGGACTGAGTGGCAGAGACGTCCGAATGGCAAAATTCATTGATTTTTCTGCTGGTCGAATTTTACCCAAAGAATGATTGCAACATAAGCTATGACTGCTAACGCGTTGATCGGATCGTACTCCAGGGCTAATATCCTTTTCTTTGGCGAAGTAACTCGGGAATCAACAGTTTTCTTCATATTTTTGGTGCCAATGAACGGCGTTTTTGCTTTTACTCTCTTTCATTGGGTTGATGAGAGAATAATACAAGCAAGTTCATTTGTTGCTTTTCAAAGATTTTCTCGGTGGATTGAAAATCTCAAACTTTGTGAATCTCGGTTATGGAATGATCAGCTAATGGTGTTGGGTTTGCTGCTTCTATTCCATGAATGTGCAATTTTGTGTGGCCTGAAAGCCTCAGAAGTCTTCTGGAACATTTTTTGTGATTTTTCTGGTGGGTGGAAAAAATTGGGATGTGTACGGTGTCATCAAATGAGGCCTACCATGTGTTGAGATAAAGTATTTCAAAAATGAGGTCCATGTCCTGTTCATTCCGGATGTCCATCCGTCATGGGTGTGTTTGTCGTGGAGAAATATCTCTGCGAATGAATGTATCCCGACCGTGTACCAAAAAAAAATACCACTTGCCATAGTTGAGCAGTATTTTGAGAACTTGATACGCAGTGTGGATAAGGAAACTGTCTACTCAGCATGTGTCAGCTGGTATCATCGTGTGCTTCCTTATTCAATCCGGTGTAAAAAAAATATTGGTTCTATTTCTGTGAAAGTAATTTTAGTGATTCATTTCTTGCTCGTGTGGTGACGTGCTTTTTGAAATGTTTGCTGGGTTAGAATCGAGTTTTGGTCTGAAGTTATTTTTTTCAAGTGAGTATTTTTTTTTAAAGAAAACCTTGCGAAATTTTTGAAATTTTTAGGATTTTTCGTTTTATTTTAATGCCAGTGCAATTTTTATCCTATCTCTGGAATGTTTTTCAGTAGTGAAGCTTCGTTGTGATTAACGTTTGATGACGATTGATTCATGAGAATGTGCGGCTCTAAATATTAATCGATACAAATATTCGTCAACCTTCGTAGTATTTTTGTATGGTAAGCTTCATTGTACTTAATTTGATGACCGTTTTTCTCATAAAAATGTGCCGCTGTGTATGTGTCAATATTTGTTGACTTGGGATATTTTAAAAACTGAAGCTTCCTTGTATGTAACTTCGGATGACTACCGTATTTTATTCATAAAAATGTTCTGCTGGAAATATTTGCCAAGACAAATTCCGGCTGCACAAATTTGAAGCCAGAGAATGTGTTGAGGCTTGTCATAATGTCATAATCCTATCTTCGTGCATTTGACGAATGATCTTAACTTTTCAGTTGTAAGCTCATGTAACATGAGAAGATTTACTGCCATCAAATTTTTATTCGTGCATTAGAACTTTTCTGGCTTCTTGTAAAAGAGCAATCTACGCGGAAACTCGAAATGTTCACTTTCAAGTACATTGACAAGATATCCCACGGCATTTTGATATGAATGAGACCCCGAAAAATGGACACCCCGACGATTCGACTCGAAAAAAATATGCCCCGGACAGAAACTTGAGACACAGGCACTTTTCAAGGATTTCTGGAAAGTTATTTGAGCTTTAAATGTCTTGAAGAAATTGAGCTACAGTACTTACATTTACTGATGCTAAAAGAAATTTATTGATAAAATCGCCCTAATGCATAATAACTAGACTAATTTTTTGCGTTTTTCAAGTTTTTCATAACTCAGTATAGCAAGGCTTGTCTTGTTCTGTACTTTTTGAGCTCCTTCTGATGCCTAATGATCACGTTGTGCGTGGTTTTCTTCTGTATGTTTATTTATTGAATGCTGATGTTGGGAAAAATTATTTTATTCAATTTTTCGGGAATCTTTTTTAAGCACTTGTCGAGAGGAGAAAGAATTAAAGATATTTCCATTGAATTCTATGGAAAAACGAGGTCCATTATGTGGACGTTCTGACCTAGGGACAAGGTCCATGCACGAATTACGTCCGCATTTCGGGGTCCAACTTCATTCAAACATTAGAAATACAGTATATACGAGGGTTCTATAAAACGTTCTCGGAGTAGCAATGAAAATGGCCTACAATTGAACTGAAAAAAATTTTTCTTTAGGGAAAACATATTCTTTGGGACCCAAAAAAAAGATCAGCCCTGTTTGACAAATTTTTTTTAGAATTTTTTTCATAATTCACCCTGGCAGAGTTTTGCTCTCTACTCAAAAGATGAGGCGCCCTTTTTTTTGTCGTAGCCCAGCTTTCCCCTCAGAATTTTTGAAATAAACTTGGCGTTCTTTCTAAGGGTTGCCTCTAGGTCATCCAAGACAATTCCGCCATTTTCATCAACAGCCACCGTAAGTGGCGACCAATGTGTCGGCTGTGAAGTGGCGGCCAATGTGTCGGCTGTGAAAATGGCGGAATTGTCTTGGATGACCTGGAGGCAACCCTTGGAAAGACTCAGAGAACTTTTGTCAGAACCCTCGTACATTCAAGACAGATGGTGTACACGAAATTACTTATTTAAAGTCTTGGTTATGGCCATTTTGCGTCGAACTTTTATTGTTGTTTCTAGACGTATTGCTGCTCGGCATGATCACCCCATCCATTCCTTCCTATCAGTTCCACTGGAGTACTGGCCCTTCGGGGACTCGTTACTACAGCTCAGAGCCAGAATCGTACGATAATCCGAATTCCCACACGTTTGGATTCAGTTCGTCATTCTACTCAGATTCGAGTGGTAAACTACGCTTTCAAGAATCGCAGACAGACGGGAAGACGACGCGTGTGAGGTACGGGGATGAACGGGGCTACAGAACCCGTGAGCTTCCATACGACGAACGACAAATCACCCCTTTTCATCCTGGACAGTATCACTTTCCACGACACTTTCGCGATTTTATCAGACACATGAACTTCATGGGACGAAGGTTTTATCCCTATGGGTGATACTGACATTGGTACAAGACGCAAGTGAAGTCTTTTCGCTGTGGTTGCACGAGAATTGATGATAATCACGCTTACGATTTGGGTAATGAATACTCTTATTCTTTCGTTGTATCAAACTTTCAAACATTCAACAACAGAAAAACGAACACATTCGGACAATACGCCGGGAAATATCACTGAAAGCAAGATTGTCATACACTTTTAAAGAGGAATTCTATCGAAAATTCGCTGGGTCTCTCCATCCATTGCTGAGATCTAGACGAGGAATCAGGTAGCTGTCGCATGGCACCACATTGTTCCTGTTGAAATTAAAATTGCTTGTTATTTCAGTCGAATGCTCTACAAGGGATCCAGGAAAAAGTCGAGTTTCGAGTTAGGAGAACAAGGATTTTCGTTGAGGGAAACCGATAAAATGCCAGAAAATTTTAGTTGGAGATATTCTGGGCCACAAATGCGTTGGTGGGGGTTCATTTGCGTAATTCGAGTAGTTCATCAGCTACTGTACTTAAAAAGTATGCATCAAGTTACATTTTATTGCTTATTTTTCCGGTGTGGACAATATGACGTGCAAAAGAACTCGTCTCAAGAAAATTTCAAGTTATGGAGGTTAGAGGAGGAAAGCATTTGCGTGAGAAAGATTTTTAATGCATTGTTTCCAATGAAATTCAGACGGAAACTTTTGACAAAAGGGAGTTATTCGACTTGCGGACGTTCGAGTGATTGAGTTTCGACTGAACTGTATTTGAAAACGTAAAATATCTTCTTGAAGAGGATTACTCCATCATTAACGCATTTTCGTTGGTATAAATTCTTTTGACATGTGTTTTGTGAATCACTAGATTAATTTGCCGTGGTTGCAGTAATTACAGGCTCGATCAACCATTATCTAAAATTCTATGGCTTATGTTTTCAGTCAAAATAATATGAATAATGCTGAAAGTGCGATTATCGCAAATGGGAAAATCATCTGAACTTGAAAGTGTGTTACTGTTCATTAGCCGCCTTTCTTTTCTGGATTTGGGGAATGTAAAAAATGGGTTATCAATATCGAATAATTGTTGTACTTCAACTGTGTAAAAAAAAACTGGTTTCCAAAAGAGGGAGAGCAGACTTATAGTAACCGATAATTATATTTCTCCTTTTGAAGTTCTGATTTGCGTCTTCCCCATAAAATCGCTACAAAGGTTGCAATGTCACGTAGAATCACGGAATCGAAATAAATTTTAATGAAAAATGGTGACTCAAAAATTTACAAGCAACGCGTATAAATAATTCGAAAATATACTCACAAATTCGAAGCCTCGTAGAAAACTAGCGGTTGTATCCTTCGCATGGCTTTCACATTATCGCAAATGATCCGTGACAATGTCGACTTCCTGATCTCCGCCAGTTGCTCTGGAAGTGAAAAGAGAATTTCATTTTATTTTACCGGGATGAAGTCCTTTCGGAATTATGACGCTGTATGTACAATTTTTGAAATCCCCTGCCCACGAAAACCGTCAGACACTCGGAGTCATATTTCCATACCGGAAAGCTGATCCATACCATCCCTACAGTTCGTGAACATTATGAAAACGTGAAACCTGCTCGTTGCAATTTCCAGATACGCAACATAACCCATCAACTGCCCAACTACTGAAATGGCTACGATAAGCGATGCCGAGAAGAAGGCGAATGCAATGAAGCATTTATGAGCAGTGGGTGAGAAGTAAGGTTTGCTCTTTTTCTTGGGTTTCTGTTTAAACTGACGGGGTGTGAACGAATGCGGTTGGCCGCCAAGGTCGTAGAAGAACCGATCCGCCTTTTTCGCCTTGGCGAATTCATCAGCGATGATGCATTGGAAAGTGGGTCCCACGATGGAACCCCGAGCGGGTTGCTCGCAAACCCCGCCAATGAAGAGGTCAATGTCATCCACGTGTTTGTAGGCGTGCTTCAGCGATTCCACTTCCTGCGGATCATGAAGACATTTTTCGATCAATTTCTCAAGTTTTGAGAATAAGACATGGAACAATCAATCGTTCAAATCATTCTTTCTAAGTAAGGCAAGATACCGAGTTGAATACTGGATTTTAATCAAAATTACATTAAATCTGTCGTACATCCCCTTTTGGTAATTTTTACTCATCTTCGAATTTTCGCATGCTAATCCGGAAAGAGATATTTCAAATTTCCCTTCTCGTCAGGGTCGAAAATTGAAATAATAAAATGCCGTATGCAGTTCTAAAAGTACAGTACATTAGAATACATCAAGTCAGGATGAGGTTCTCTTTTCTTGGATTTCAGATGTTTTAATCGGAGAGATATCCGCTCTTTCGGAGTATGGTAAACCTTTTTATTCTACGATGTATTCCTGAATCTGTTCACGTCTTGAAAATTACTTTGTACACGCGAAGAAAGGCAATCCTTTCTCCAATTTTACAAGTTCGAAAATTACAGTTGTTTATTCGCATATTCATGCAATTTACGCAAATATGAGTCTAAATCAGCAAATCGTCCTTTTTTTGGCCGACAAAATGGTTTAGCGTTTTCGCT